TAAACGTGGAGTGTATGTGTTAGAGCTGGGCCTCCCCTGTGGCTTAGAAGGAGCAGTAGACAGCATATCCAGGTGCATATGGAGGATATGATAATACATCGGAGCCTGTAGCGGATACCTGGTACCATGACAGAGGATGGAGGACAGAACAAATTGATCAACTACCCCAGCCAAGTGTTGGCAGTGAATACCTGGGCATATGGAGACTCTAAGATGGACTATGTCAGCCAGTGGAGTCTGGAGAGATTTCATTGTGTTTGGAGTGCCAAGATCAGCAGCAATACAGAACTGTTAAGCTTTCAAAACCTCTTGAACAGAGCCCTCGAAGCATGCCCCACATCGGGACCCCTGGGATGATTGAGAGGCTGGGTGTGGCTTCTCCCTGTATCTCTCTTCCCCCTGCCCCCGAGATATAGAAAAGAAAAAGAGAATGTCAAAAACAACAGTCTCACCCACTTTCCTCCAACCCTTGACCCTTCGCACCCTAATAAAATATGTAAAACTTACCAAAAATAAAATCTATACAATTTTAAAAGAGTACCAATGAGATATATGAAATTTGTTTTCTATATATTAATAAAAAATAAAAAAAATGACAGCTGATAAAGAGAATCAGGAAGAGAAACGTGATAGAAAGTAAAGCATATTAAGAAGGAGATGAAGGAAGTCTAGTCGGCAAGCAGTTGGCATAGACACTGCCTTACTGAGAGATTCATACTTAGATCAGACACATCTTCACACACACAGGGACTGCTAGGTCGCAATACGTTCATCAGATGAAACCAGACATATATTTCTTTCTCTTGTTTTAGGTTTGAAAAATTTTACCATTTGATCACACTCATTTCATATGCAAATATTTTACACACATAATATGTTAAAGTAGAAGTGGAGATAACAATATCACATAATGTGGGAATAATGACGTTGTAAACTAAGGTAAGAAGACTGCTGCTATTACATGATGGGTGTCATTTAGTGAAAACAGCATATATAAATATCTATGTATCAAATGGTGTGACACCACACAGTTTTATCTATCTTTTTTAGTCTCTATCCATATATACACTTCCTTTTTAGATTACTTTTTAAAATTTGTATAAAGAGAACAAATTTCATGTATTTCACAGGTACAACTCTAGGGAGCCATTCATACTTCCCTCCCTCCCTCTTTTCCTTAGCTTCCCTCTTTTCTTCCTTCCTTATGCTTTTATTTTTTCAAATACAGAATTTTAGTCCACTCCAAAATCGCAGATTCAATGCACCCCCAACCATAATGTTCAACAATTACAGTCTGTGAAGACCATGGCTCTGCAGGAGTATAACAGAGGCTAAAATCAAATCAAATCAAATCAAATCACAAGATGTCCATTTTACTCCTAAACATTTTTGTGTTCAATATTAAACACTACATGTATGAGAAAACATATGATACTGTGTTCTTGGGACTGGCTTATTTTGTTAAGATAATGGTTTCTAATTGGACCCATTTTGCTGTTGAAGACAGAATTTCATTCTTTTTATGACTGAGTAATATTTTCTGATGTATACATGCCACATTTTCTTTATCCAGTCATCAGTTGATGGACATTTGGGTCGATGTCATAACTTAGCTTTTGAGAATTGATCAACAAGCATGTGAGTAAAATAATGATGTACAAATGTCCACATGTGAGAGAAAATATGTTTGTCTTTCTGGGTTATGTTACTGAGCATAATGATTTCTAATTTCATTCATTTTGTAGCAGGTTTCAAGATTCTTTTGTATTTTGTGACTGAATAACATTCTACTGTGAAAGAGTCTCTCACATGAAGACATTTCCTTTAGTGGCTGACCTATTTTTACTTTTGTGAAGGATCTCCATGTTCCTTTACATAATGGTTGAACTACTTTACATTCACACTCTAATTGTTTCAAGGTATACTTTTTTCTACATCACAACCAGCATTTTCTATTTTTCAACTTTTAGATAATAGCCATCTTAACTGGATTGAAATGAAATCTTTTTAAGACTTTTTATTTGTGTTTCCCTGAAGGCACATTTTTTATTTTTTTTTAAGATTTATTTATTTATATTGGGAAGGGAGATTAATAGAGAGAAAGTGAGACAGAGAGAAAGATCTTCCATCCGCTGGTTCATTCTCCAAGTGGCCACAACAGCTGCACCTGATCCCATCCAAAGCCAGGAGCCAAAAGCTTTTTATGGATCTGCCACACAGGTGCAGGGTCCCAAGGCTTGGGGTTGTCCTCTACTTCTTTCCCAGGCCACAGGCAGGGTGCTGGATGGGAAATGGAGCAGAAGGGACACAAACCAGTGCCCATATGTGATCCCGGTGTGTGCAAGGTGAGGATTTAGCCATTGAGCCATTGCATTGGGCTCTCTCTGAAACTTTCAAATAAATCCCCAGGCTCATTCCACCTGCCTGGATATGAGCCCCCAGGTGCCCACATGCCCCCACTGCTCCATCCCCTCAGTCCCCTGGATGGACAGGCACCCACCAGCCTGCCGCACAACTATTTGTATATTTTTCTTTCTCTTGCATACTGGCTCTGGCTCATACTTCAAGAACTCTGCTGAGTAACAGTGGTGACAGTGGACTGCTTGTCTAGTTCCAGATCTTGTGTGTGTGTGTGTGTGTGTATTTTCATCCTCCATTCTCTTGAAGTAATGTGTTATATTTACTGGTTTGTGTGTATTGAACTATCCCTGTATTCCTAGGATGAATATCACTTCATCAGAGTTAATGATCTTTGGATTCAATTTGCTACTATTTTGTTGAGAAGTTTTGCACACACATTCACCAGGGATATTAGTCTATAGCCATTTTTTTTTTTATTGTATCCTTGTCTGGTTTTGGAATCAAGGCAAAGTTATCCTTGCAATTGCTTGGAATTTATTTCTCAAGATGTGTGTCTGCATGAATTTTTTTGGAGACTCTCACATGGAATTACTCAAGTAATAAAATAAGTAATGCTTTTTACTCGTTATCCACACATGACCAGTGTTTGTGCTTTTTTGTATTTATTATTAGATTGGGTATGTTTTTGGTATAAAGCTGTGATTCTATATTCCACAATAAATTACAAAATTTCAACCATACATATTATTATTTGCTATTATTTGTATAGTCATCACTTGTATAGACAGTAACACATTCAGTGCTCTCGGTTCAGAATGCAAGTTGATTCCTTCCCATCTTTGAAAATAGAATACCTGATGTTGAAATGATCGTTGTCATGAATAAACGTTTGTGCTTGTCAATGAATAGTTTCCAGTGGAATGTAGTGGGCAAGCAGATTAGGATTCACTTTGTGGGGGCTGGTGCTTAAACCAAGTAGGTTAAGCCACCACCCACAGTGTGGGCATCCCATATAGTTGCCGATTTGAGCTCTGGCTGCTGATCCAGTTTTCCTGCTATTGTCTTAAATGTGTGGACCCCTGAGCCCACGTGGGACACAGGGAAGAAGCTCTTGGATTCTGGCTTGGCTGGCCCAGACCTGGTCATTGGTGGGAGTGAACCAGAGGATGGAGGAGGATGAAAGACCTGTGTGTGTGTGTGTAACTCTGCCATTCAAAGAAAAGAAACAATAGAATTTAGTTTGCTTAATATCTTGATTATCAGCCTGGGGCTGTACTCAAGCCTGGCTGCTTTAATGATGACTGCTGCTAGAGGTGTTGGCGATATTTTCTATCTTGCCCATGAGCCACAGTTTAGGCCACAAAAGCCACATGATGTTATTCTCTCCTGAACTCACCAGCTTGCAAACCCTAACCAACTACTTTTGTCTTGCATTTTTCAAGTATTTTTGCACTCTTTTCAAACCAGCTTCGAGTATTTTGCACATAATCTTTACGTCTTTCAACACTCTAATATTTGTGTTACAAATAATCATTTTGTCAATAAATGGGGTTCATGCATCAGTAATGATCTTTAAAAATTTATAGTGGCCTCTCATCCTCTGGAAATAGTTCCGTAAACTCCCAGACCTGGTCACCAGAGCTTTTCAAACTTATTATCCCGTAGGAAAACCAGAAAGGCAGGCAAAAGTCAGAGACTGGGCATCTGGGGATCTGGGGTCTGGAGATATTTAGAAACTTCTGAATGACCTTGAATAATTCTCTCCCCCTCTGAACCTTAGTTCAGGAAGCAATTGAGTTTTGATGTGTATTCCTCAAGGCTTTTTGCACCCTGACATTTTTTAGTGGAATGAGCTGATCATTCAACTTTATGTTGCTTTTACCTTGTTAAACTCTCTTGCTTCTTAACTTTGTTTGAATATTTCAGTTTTTCCTTCTTTTTCATTTGATGTATTTGTCTTTATGTCTTGCTTAAGGAAGTACTAGTGTGTGTGTGTGTGTGTGTGTGTGTGTGTGTGTCTTAAGAGTCTGTGTGTGGGAAGATGTGAATTTTAATGTGTTTGAGTCATTCCCTGTGTGTGGCTGTGTGTAGAGTGGATGAGGGTGAGTTTGTGAGTGCGAGTTTGAATGTTTGATTCTATGTGCTTTAGAAAGGGAATATGAGTGAAACACAGTTTGAAACATAAGCAAGCATAATCTCTTTGGAGCAATTTTATAAAGGGAATCAGCTGAAAAGAGTAAGAGAGATCTAGGGCAAGTCATGGAGTTAGAATGGGTTGAGGGAGGTCTCATTTACCCTCAGGTGTGACTCAAGTAAGAGAAAAAAGTCCTGCTTAGCTGTGGCCAGACAAAGCAAATGACTGTAGGTGATCTTAAACACTGTCTGTAGTCAGGAGTGTGCAGCAGCACACATGCACACACATACACACTCACATAATCACATACAGAGTCTCACACACACACACACACAGACTCTTTCAGTGCCAGATTCCCACACCTTCTGATGACAGATCTCACCCCCGGCCCTTGGTTTGTTATCTCCTGCTTCACACTGAGAAATCAGTGGTGATAGAATCAGTCAATGACACACACAGATCCAGGTGTGGAGTTAAAAGTCATTTAATGGAAACAAAACAGGAAGATTCACTTGATCTCTTCAAAACTCCTTTGCCAATATATGCTGAGCAGCTAGGATACCAGTTCACCCAGTGAGAACTTCAGCCTTCTTCAGAGGCTCCAGAACCCTCCAGAGTGAGTATAAGGAACCCGTGCAAAGAAGGAAAAGGTATGACTCATAGTGACATCATGCTGACTGTAAGGGCAATAAGAGAATGGGACTTATATGCAGAAGGGGATAAGAGATTCAGCACCCGGCAGCTGGCTCCGCATGAGTGCAGTGATAGATCACTTTACTTCTGCTTTGTCTTCTGCTGACATGGTTCAGGCACCTTAGATTGGCATGGCTCGGGTACCTTCGGTTGGCATGGTTCAGGCACCTTGGGTTGGCATGGCTCTGGCACTTTGGGGTGGCATGGCTCAGGCACCTTGGGTTGGCATGGCTCAGGCACCTTGGGTTGGCATGGCTCAGGCACCTTGGGTTGGCATGGCTCAGGTACCTTGGGTTGACAGGGCTCAGGCACCTTGGGTTGGCAGGGCTCAGGCACCTTGGGTTGACATGGCTCAGGCACCTTGGGTTGGCATGGCTCAGGCACCTTGGGGTGGCAGGGATCCTTGGTTGCGGGGCCACACGGTTCCTGGGGTGGAGGCTGGCAAGGCTGTTTCACCTGGTGCTGCTGCAGCTGAGGGGGTACAGTGCAGGGCTGCTTCTGCTGCTGGGAACTCATGTTTTATCAGTGGCTGGTCCTGGAGACAGAAAGCATGATCAGTGAGTCAATGAAGCATATCACATCCCTTGTTGAAAAACACTCAGACAAAGCTGGATTCTGAGAACTCTGAGGTCCAGATGATAGGCTTCTAAGGAAGTATATTGTGAATTTAATCTGTTTACCACAGCATCATATAAAATACCGTGTGTCTTAGAGGATGGCTCTATATTAAACTAGCTCCCTCTGATTTTGCCCCATGCTCACACATTGCTGAAAAATGCTTTCCTTCTCAAGTTCCTCCCCATCATTTCCCATCACTTTCTATCCTAGGAGGCTTTTCTTCATCAATGCTCTTCCAAACAGCACAGCCCCTTTGCCTCCTGTCCCTCCTCACACTGTCACTATTTGCCTTGCATTTAATCTGTTTCTAGACAAGGGTGCATAACCCTCTCTGATTATTTAAATCCTGGTAAGTTCCACATGCTCTGATTTATCCAAGTGTCTACCGTATTGTCTTAAAGATCACCAGACCTCAGAAGAGCACCTCACTACAGTTTCTACCACAAGTATCATTGCAGAGAGAATTGCCCTGTTGCTAAGCGGGTTGTGGGCCAGAGCCTTAACTCTCCTTCTGCTATGAGCTTCCTACAGGCACTTTGGCAGATCTCTCCCCTTCCCTGTCCCCACACCACATCCATGGCTATACACTGACATGGTAGACTTAACTGTCTCTGGGGTTCCTCCAAATTCAAACTGAGCTTCATTTTAAAACAAAGTGATTCCAATGTCCTCTAATTCTAATTAATCCTCTGCCTGGCCCCTCTTACTCCTGTTTGGCTTTCTAAAGTTTCAAACTGGTTGGAATCAGAGACTCACCTGATACACAGAGGAGAACAGGTTGTCTGGTCCCTTGGATCTGTGTGGCAGCTACGGCCAACTGCCTTTTATAATGAGCCCTGCTCTGTTTTCATTTCTTGCTTGTCACACATGACTCACTCTACTTCTTTCAATCACCTGTTGACACAGCTTCCATGATGAAAACTACTCACCTGATTTTTTTTGGCACTTGTCTGACAATGATGTCACCTGGGTTCCACTGCCACCCTCCCCAGCAGACCCATGTGTGTAGGGTTTATGCTGGGAGAGGGATGAGCAATGGCCTTCCTGGAGGGTTTAATGAGTTGACCCTAGAGGAAGATTTGAGTCCTCCTGTGGCCCTGCCACTGGCTCTTTCTTGCTGAGATGTCCTTTGAGACAGAGTTCTTTTGGGCACATTAGCAGGTGGCAAAAGATGGGTTGGAGAAGGGGTTTAGATAGGTGTTAGTTGTTTGCTTTAATGAAGGTGATGCTGCAAATAATGAAATTCAGTGACAACTGACCCTTTGGATGGCCGGGGTGATCCAAGACCCTTACATCCATATCTTCTTTTTCCAGCTCCAATGAATGACACATATCCAGAATGATTTACTTGTCACCTCCACCCACCCTTCCCCAACTTGTTACTAATCTGGGTAAACCTGCTTTGCTTTCATCAACCACACCTTTTCCCCTTTCCCAGCTCTGAAATTCTCAAGCACTAATCCCTTTTCTGGGGTAGCCTTTCCCCTCCACTCCACCCAGCTAATCCGGCAATGGCCCTTTCCTCTTTCCTAACACAACTCTGCTCTTTCTTTCATTGAAAGCCTAGAAGCCTGTTCCAGCTAGCTGCACCCCAAGTTCATCCACAAAGTCCTCATCTTTGAGCACTTTGCCGTAGCTGACCTGTTCCTTGTTTCCTACTCAAGTCCAGCACTTGGTGAGATCACTGCATTACCCTCCTTCCCTTTGTGCCTCTGACAACCCTTAGAGTTTTCTATGAATATCAAACTAATGGTGTCTAAAATTCATTCAGCAAGTGTTAAAGGGGGTACTTGATAGATTCCAGTCCTGCATGTCATTTTCAGAGTTCTCAGAGGCAGAAGACCACTTTCTGTGGACAGGGAGGTACTCCCTCCTCTGGAATGGGAGACTCAGTATTGTTCAACACTCTCAGAGCCACTGAGTAGTGAACTTCTGATCCCCCAGCCATATCAGGTCTCCAAACTCATTTGGTCTGGTCTTGCCAAGGCAACCATAGCCAGGACTTAAAATTCAAAAAATCTACTGCAGGGTAATTTTCAATTTGACAACTTCTTATGACCTGTGAAGATCGTTACAAATGTCTAAGCAGAAAGAAAAAAGTTCCCATCCCTGTTTAGGGCATATTTTTCAAGGGGTGATGAAGGAATAAAAAGCTACTACAGGTAAGCAAACTCATCCATAAACAACAAACCCCAGGAGGAAACAAAATCTACATGGATATTCCTTGTTCTCTTTGGTTTTTAATCCTTTCTTATTCTCTAGGAAGGAAACTGAACCCAGGCAGGAAAACAATGAAGGGTGATGTTAGTCTTCCTGACCTGAACTGGAGACACTGCTAGTTGCCGTGGAGGCTTGTCACTGTGAGGGGCTGTGAGAGAGCACAGAGCATTGCCTGCTGGGTGGACCTTTAATCATTGTTAAGGTGAACCCTCTTAGGTAGGAACAAGGCTGCTTATGCTTGTAATGACTCTGAAGATAAGCAGTATTATTTATAATTCTGTCAAAAATAAGGGAAGGCATGGACACACATAGGTTGGAAGGAAGGGACTCATTCTTGTTTGAGTTCAGCAACTTTCATTCTGAAGGGGTCTCAGAATGACAGGGAAAGTGTCATAGTTGGCATGGATACCCTGTCAGCAGAAATACTGGGGAAGCCTTTGAGTACCTGAAGGGATGCCTGAAGATTGCCTTATCCAATGATTTTTCTGAAGACGTAAGAACAGGGCTTCCCTGAGTCCTTCCTACACTATCGATGTCCTCTGATCAACATAAAATGAATCTGAAATCCCTACTCAAAATGCAATCTGTAGGTGGTTGTGGACTTTGGAAAATCTAAACCACTTTTAGAGCTCAAGTATGTGGGTGCTCTTTCTATTCATCCTACTCCTCCCTTCACCAAACATATACCAAAGTATTTGTGAAGCACCTGCTCGTTCCACAGGTGTGTCATCTGTGAACTTAAGTTTAGGATCAGCCTCTCATTGTGTCCCAATAGCCAGTGGATTGTGTTCATCCTCACATGGGGTCTGGTGTGTGGCAGATGCTTAGTCCTTGGCAGCTGTAGATGGACTGTATGAATGAATGGGCAGGTGAGTGAATGCCATGCTCTGTAGAGAGGCTTGGAGACTACCTTAAGAGCAGATGGAGGTTCTTGGAGGAGAAATGTTTCCCAGTGATGAGTTGAAACAAGGGAGCTGGGAAGGCTCAGTGAGGGCAGATGACACCTCCACTACCTTCCCCACCCATCTGTCTCACATCAGCTAGTTTAATGACCCACTCCCTCTGGGCTGGAGCATGGCGCCACTGACATGCTGAGCCTGGAGCTGCCACCTCATTTCAGCTCTCCTCTGGGGAGACACAGGTCCTCCCTTCACAACTGCCCTTCCCAGGAGTCTCCCTGACAGAGAAAGCTCCAGGCAGAGGCTCCTCCTGTGCTGTGATAAGAACCCTCAGTCCCAAAGCTATCTGCTCCTCATCCCTTCTGTCCTCTGTTGCCCCTGATGACCTGAATGAACCAAGCTCTCTCCAGAGTCAGGGAACTCCCATATACTCCATGGTCAGTGACCCTGGGTGCTGAGGACTCTCTTTCATGGGGTAACTGCCCTGGCTGCCCTCCCCTGCCTTCCCTGACCTGTGCTTTCTCATCCAAGCCAAGTATGCTCTGGCTCCAGTCTCTGGAAATTTCCCTTCATGTGGACAGGGCTCTCCCTGTATATTCACCTGCAGCTCACTCAGTGGCTTGTGCTAAGTTCTTCTGCCTTCACCTCCAGGGTAAGGTTAGTCAGTAAGCAGGCTCCAGGCCTATCAAGAAAGGGAAGCCTGGTGACTTCTGGGGATAAGCATAGCTCCTGGAACCTCTTGGTCTTGCCCAGGGCCTTTGCTTAGGACAGAGGAGGCTGTGGCTCCTCCTGTGCTGTACACAGGAGGAGCTTTCTCGGATCCAGATACTCCGCTGATGGAATGGGGACGCTCTATTTCTCTGCTCATTTGCAAAGCAGGTGAGTTCCAGGGCCCTGTGCCTAACCTGTATCCAGGCTTTACCTCGTTTGGATGGATTCTGGCCTTCTCCCCATTTACTGAGGCCGATGCCTGATCAAGAGGGTCAAGCAGAGTTGGGATTTTTTTTTTTTGATGCTTTTCTTGTAGGGTTTACCTTTAAAGCATGGTCTCTTCTAGAACCCCACACTCCTGGGAAAGTTTTGTTTTCTCCTCTCTGACCCCTTTTGAGGAGCTAAGGACACCAGGGACTTGGCTGCTCCATTCAAGCCTCAATGGTTTAGAAGAGAATCTCTATGGCACACAGAACCCCTCAGCTGAAAAAGAACAGGGGAATGAGGAAGAGACAGCTGGTATGAGGAGGGCCCTGCACACTTTGGTCTGGTGTGCAGGTGAAGCTAAACATGCAACTCTGAGGGGAGAGGCACTACTAGAACTGGAGCCACTGTCCAGCCCTCACGCTACAGAGGAAGGAAACAGGTGCATGTAAGGGTGGAGGTGCTTCCAGGCTTCACAACTTCCTTAGCAGCAGAAGCAAATATCAGACAGAAGCCTGGGATATTCAATTTCTTCTCCCCTTCACCATTTCCCCAACATACAGCCAGCCCCTTGACCTCCATCTCTTGTATCTCAGTCCCCTGAGGGAATAGATACAAATTTAAAGCTGAATTCTCTTGCTTGAGCAGGGCAGTAAATCAAGGGCCCAAGCTTAGCAGTTAGGGCAGCTGTTTCATAGCCTTGTTGGGTGACCGTGACAAGTTGCTGAAGCTTCCTTTACTTCAATGTCAATGTCCTTATGTTCAAAATGGGAGCTTTAAATGCCAGTGTATAAGATTGTTATAAAGATTAAATCTACTGATGCTTCAACCACTTTTAGGATGAATAGGATAAGTAAGTCAAGTGCAATC